TCTGAGGTCTTGGCTGATTTCTTTTGATTTTCCCATGATGTCAAGCAAAGAGGCACTGAGTTTGAAGGTAGGCCTTGAAATACATCCACAGGTACACCTCCAATTGACTCAAAGGATGTCAATTAGCCTATCAGAAGCTTCTACATCCATGACATCATTGTCTGGAATTTCCCAAGCTGTTTAAAGGCACAGTCAACTTAGTGTATAAACTTCTGACCCACTGGAATTGTGATACAGTGAATTATAAGTGAAATAATCTGTCTTTAAACAATTGTTGAAGAAATTACTGTCATGCACAAAGTAGATGTCCTAACCGACTTGCCAAAACTATAGTATGTTAACAATAAATTTGTGGAGTGGTTGAAAAACGAGTTTTAATGACTCCAACCTAAGTGTATGAAAACCTCCGACTTCAACTGTACCTGCAGTCAACTTGTGCAATACGTTAGGAGATAAAGAGCATTGCGTTCTTCATTTCACCTGTCACATTATTATGAAGTTTACGGTAGTCACGTGTCACATGCTGTTTGTTTACAAGCACACAACGACGAGATACCGGAGCCTTGTAAGTCACTCACTGTTGTGCAGCATGCGCCAGGTGATCTATACTGAACAAAAATATAAACACAACATGGAAAGTGTTCGTTTCATGAGCTGAAATAACATATCCCACGAAATGTTCCATATGCACAAACGGCTTATTTCTCTTGGATTTTGTGCACAAATTAGTTTACATCCCTGTTAGTGAGCATTTCTCCTTTGCTGAGAGAATCCATCCACCTGACAGGTGTGGCATATCAAGAAGCTGATTAAATGGCATGATCATTACACAGGTGCACCTTGTGCTGGGGACAATAAAAGGCCACTCTAAAATGTGCAGTTTTGTCACACAACACAATGAATGCCACTGATGTGTCAAGTTGAGGGAGCGTGCAGTTGGCATGCTGACTGCAGGAATGTCCAACAGAGCTGTTGCCAGAATTGAATGTTCATTTCTCTACCATAAGCCGCCTCCAACGTCGTTTTAGAGAATTTGGCCGTACGTCCAACCGGCTTCACAATCGCAGACCACGTGTAACCACGCCAGCCCAGGACCTCCACATCCGGCTTCTTCACCTGCGGGATCATCTGAAACCAGCCACTTGGACAGCTGATGAAACTGAGGAGTATATCTGTCTGTAATAAAGCACTTTTGTGGGGGAAAACTCATTCTGATTGTCTGGGCCTGGCTCCCAAGGGGGTGGGCCTATGCCCACCCGTGGATGCGCCCCTGCCTAGTCATGTGAAATCCATAGATTAGGGCATAATGAATTTATTTCAATTGACTGATTTCCTTATATGAACTCAATAAAATCGTTGAAATTGTAGCATGTTGCGTTTATATTTTTGCTAAGTATAATTACAGTATGGAATTCACAGCTAAATGTTTGCCAGCAAGACATCTTATAACTATTAAGTTAACTGTCTAAAATGTTCCAAATGCTTTGCAGTTGTGCATTTGGTTTGCGAATTTAGTTGCTAGTTAGCTATCTAGCTAAGTGGTTAGCTTCTTCCAAAATCAAGCATTCTCTTGGTAACAGCAGAGAATCCCCTTCTGGATCAAGAGCCTTGCTGGCTAATATTTTTGTGCTTGCAGCAAACCGTGAGAAGCATTTTTGAGTTAATTCTATAGTTTAGGTCAGAAACTGTACAAAAATGTTCGCAATGCGCTTTTTAGCATTTTAGTTAGCATTCTCTATGGGATTTTACATGTACTTGCTAACATTGCTAACCTTCGGACTACAGAGTATCAATTGGGTTTGAAAACAGGGCCCCTTGTGTTCAGTGCCGGTATTACGAATATCCCGGTAAGGTCGGTATGACAATCTGGGTACCGCCCAAGCCTATGAAAGTAAATATTATTGTTTCTAGTTGAGGTTAATTACAAGTGAAGTGTCCTGACTTTGCATCAGTTCAAAAGATTGACAAGTGACTGAAGTGACCGCCTGGGAGCTCAGGCAGATTAGCTCAATCCGACCGTGCAACTGAAAAATGTCAATTCTGCCGAAGAGAGATTGCATGAAATATTCTTGTCTCGTAGACTAAAATGAAAAGTAATTTGTAATGGTTATAGTTTTTTTCCAGGGCATCTCTTCATAGTTTTAGTCAGGAAAAATGGGTCGTTGCCGAGTACTTCTCGTCATATTGTTGACGAAATGAACACTGACATACACACACTCCACCCCCAGGGTGCGGTGTCATAGGGGAGGCCATGGGAGCTCTCTCTATGCTGGAGGAGCTGAGCTGCTGAATGGTAGTAGAGGAGGTGATTTATGGCCCAGGAGGTGAGGAAGCAGGGAAACTCCTCTTCCTGCTCTTAGCGGGAGCTTTGAGGTGATGAAAGGGACGTTTTAAATCATAAGACTCAATCTGTCCAAATGTAGGCCAGATCACTGAATAGATCCTTTCTGAATCATGCTGTAATATGATTGATTGCTTTTATTTTGAAAGTAAGAGCGTGCCTCTGCCTCGTTCATTCTCCTCCATCCCTCTTGAGTCTTTTTCTCGTGGGCCCAAGTGGAGTTAAATTAATTTGTGAGTGTAGTTGTATTGATTGCTACTGACTAGTTATTATCATACATTTTTACTGGGCTTCTACTGTGGCTGAAAAACTACGTAGGGCAAATGTAACGAGCATGATGGTGTGGTGGTATAATTGAAGGTGACTGTAGAGACGAGTACTATAAGTGGTAGTATAAGGAAATGTCGTAGTCTGTGCTGTAGGTCTATATGGCAGTTTAGACGAGTCCAATCGCTTCCGTAGATGTAAGCAATAACAGTGTATTATGGTTCTACAACTGGAGCAATACTAGGATAAGTAAAATATGTTGTAGTATATCTCAGTTGCTATACTGTGTTTTTATCACTACGCAGGCTACATCTCTCACTCCTCTGTCGACACTCCTAGCTGGGTTGCGGTTTGTCTTTAGAGATCGGTTACAGTTGGTTTTTTCTTCATCTTGTGTGTCGCCCAGCAAGTTTCTTTTAATTCCTTTTGTCGGATGTTGCTAAAGCATGTTGTGTAGCAACTTAAGTTGCGAGATGCATTCTCTTTCTCTCCTCAGAGATTTCTTAACTTTTTTGAGTTTGAGAAGGTCAAAATCAGTGTCTCTGAAGTACAAGGGCTTATGCTAATGTCCCCTTTTTGTAAAGTTGCTATTTATCAGGAAATGGTTTCCCCTCCGCTCATTGACGAAAGGTCAGTGGTAGTAGTGCTAGCAGCCATGTGGAGAGGCTTGAAAGAAAGAGAAAAGTTGGGGGTGGGGCGGAAGGAGGGTAACAGGGAGGGAGAGAGTAGGGGGGAGGGGAATTCTCTAGTTGGGGAAGTGTTGGGGAAGTTTAGGTGACTCATTCCTCTTCCCCCACACACACACACAGGCTACATACTAAGACCCACCTACACATTTACATTTACATTTTAGTCATTTAGCAGACGCTCTTATCCAGAGCGACTTACAGTTAGTGAATACATATTTTTTTATACTGGCCCCCCGTGGGAAGCGAACCCACAACCCTGGCGTTGCAAACGCCATGCTCTACCAACTGAGCTACATCCCTGCCGGCCATTCCCTCCCCTACCCTGGACGACGCTAGGCCAATTGTGCACCGCCCATGAGTCTCCCGGTCACGGCCGGCTGCGACAGAGCCTGGATTCGAACCAGGATCTCTAGTGGCACAGTTAGCACTGCGATGCAGTGCCTTAGACCACTGCACCACTCAGGAGAGAGTGGTGCAGTGGTCTAAGGCACTGCATCGCAGTGCTAACTTAGACCACTGCACCACCTTAGACCACTGCATCAACGGAATGGCGACCCCGCACTCACGCTACCACAACAACCCCCCACACACATGCACAGCTTCTCAAACATACACACACAGCGTCTCAAGCCTACACACAGCATATGTTTTACTATCCTTGTGGGGACCTAAAATTGATTTCCATTCAAAATCCTATTTTCCCTAACCATAACCGCTAAGCCTAAAATAGCCTTTGTCCTCGTGGCGACCTGGAAAATGTGCTCATGAGGAAGAATGTTCCTTGTTTTACTGTCCTTGTGGGGACTTTTGAGGATTTCAGGTACAACAAGCACACACACACAGCTTTAAGCCCGCACGCACGCATAGGCCAACGCATAAACACATGTCGCGTGTTGAGTTGGACATCCAATCCCTGTGCTGGCTCTCCTTTCAGCCTGGTTTCTCACACCTCCATAATAACCCCTGCTCATCTGATTAGAGCTCAGGGGACGAGCAGGTTGAGGACACACATACACAGAAAAACTCACTCAAAATATATGTGCATGCGCTCACTCCCTTACACATTCACACTCTGAATATCTGCCTCTCTCTCTCCTTCCCTCTCTGCCCAACAAAACACACACTTGAGCAGGTGGCTCCCCTCCTTGTATTCTCACATCTGCCGGGCTGATCTGGCAGCAGCTGCTGTTTAAACACCCCTGCTTCTGCCCAGGCCTTTGTTCTTTCCCTAAAGAATGAATGGGTTTAGGTTTGGTGCCTGTCTCTCTCTCTGTGTGTGTGTGTGTGTTGGAAGAAAATCTTTTGTTTGAAAGCAAATGGAAACGGAGGTGGGGGATGGGATGAAAAGGCTATCTGGGGGGGTTGTTGGTTACAACTGATTAAATTGCTAAACTTGTGCCACTTTTTAAGAACTCTAATTCAGTTAGCAGGAGTTTAAAGAACGGGAATAAGGTTGCACAATGGACCTCATCTGATATTGCTCCTGCTAATACTCTGTTCCTATCTCTCTCGTCCCACTCTCTGCCCTCCTCTCCCTCCAGGTCCTGTCCTGTAACCTATCTTTGCCTGACTCTGCATTCTTGTTCTCTGGGAGAATTAGGGAAATATGGAGTGACATGCTGCAGATTAGTTAGCGGATTAGCGGCTTTGAGGACATCCACCTCTGTGTGAGCACAGATTCCCTGGAGCTCCACTCCCCCCAGCCGCCAGGGCCCCAGCAGCCATGGCTGACCCGGGGATGTTGAGCCTGTTCGGGGACGATGCCAACCTATTCTCGGACGGGCTGGAGGGCCTGGGAGACTGTGGCTTCCCCCAGGGCCAGCCCAACCCCATGGGACAGCAGATGCCCCATGAGCACCAGGGCTACGGGTCGCTCTCCTCCAACTCCCTCCACCACCCCTCGCAGGCCGGCCCTGGACAGCCCAAGATGGGCCACCCCTACGACCCCTTCACAGGCTACGAGCAGCAGCAGGGCCAGGGTCGGCTGTTGGGCAACGGCCCCGCCGTCAACGGAATGGCGACCCCGCACTCACGCTACCACAACAACCCCCAACAACCCGAAGGGGGGCACCACGTCTACCCCAGAGCCCAAGGCGATGGGCAAGGGCAGTCCTTCCCCGATGGCGGAGCCGTGTGGGGCCCCCAGGCTGGCCCCGGGCAGGGCAGGCCTCCATTCCAGCAGCAACAGGCAGCCGCCCAGGCCCCCTCCCACCAGCAGCACGGACTCTCTGGGCCCCAGGGCCAAGGCCACCAGATGGGCCCCTACATGGGCCGGGCCGACTACGCCACTATGCAGGGCCACCCTGGCCAGACCCAGACGCCCACCAGGATCAACCACTTCCCTCCGGGCATGGGCCAGGAGCCCAACCACTACATGGGCCACGTGGGGCTCCAGCAGAACCCCAGCATGACAGGCCCCCCCATGCGCCACCCGGCACAGCAACAGCAGCCCCCCCAGCAGTTCCTCCACCGTCCCGGCCAGGGCCCTGTTCACCCCCAGGACACCATGGCCTCCCACACCTCTCGCCAGCAGCAGCAGGGCTTGGCCGGGAGGCCCCACCAGAACATGGGGTTCAACATGCACGGCCAGGCAGCCTCTCCTAGTGCTGTAACCAGCTCAGGGCCGTACCCCCCCTACCCCCAGTACGGCAACCTTAATCAGGGATTAGCCGTCAGTGCAGGGATGACTCCCGGCATGAGCCTCAGCAGCACCAGCAACAACAACAGTAACGCCAGCGGGCCCATGGGGCCAGCCCAAGTCCAGCGGTACCCCAATGCAGGGGGGGCCCCACAGCGCTACCCTGGCCCTCAGGTACACCAGCAGCCTGTCCACCCCAACCAAATCACCGGACAGCCCATGCACCCCTCTCAACCATTGCACCCCTCTCAGGCCCAGGCCACCCCGCAACAGCAGCCCCACCTCCCCACACCACCTCAGGGATCTTATGGCTCTCCCCCCTCAATGTCCCCCATGAGGGGTATGGGAACCCCCGCGGTCACACCTCCGCCTCAACAGGTCCGCCCCCCTAGTGCAGGCCTTGCTCCAGAGGTAGGGGGGTACCCCGGAGCTCCACTCCAGGCCCCTAACCCCATGGCCCCCGCTCAGAGAAACCCCACTCCCCTAGGCGCTCAGCAACCGCAACACCATCCCCAGCACCTCTCCCACCCACAGCAGCACCCCCACATGCCCCCGAGCCAGCAGCTCTACCAGGGCATGTCCCCCAACCAGAGAGGCCCACTAGACCAGGTGAGACCTCCAGGTCCTATGGCCCACGGTGAGCCTCCAGGACCACAGGACCAGCGGCTGCTCCCTCCCCAGCAACAGGCTCCCAGACCTGGGCTGCAGCCTCTTCCCATGGCCTTCCAGCAGCAGGTGCACCCAGTCCATGCCGCTTTGCCCCCGTCACAGGCTCAGACACATCTGGCCGGCCCCCAACACCAGAGCTCCCCGCCCAACCAGCCACCTTGGGCGCCGGCAGCACACCAGTCGCCTCCAACCCCCCAGAAAGTGCCTTACATACAGGTGAGTTTGCTTTGATGTTGAGGTCTGTGTGTGTGGTGTTTTTTGTGAGTTTGTTTTCATGTGCGCAAGCGTATTTGTGGGTGCGTGACATTTAAAAACTCAGCGGTGCTCTGTTGAATGGGGGTTTTGAGGTGTGTGTTTGTGGGAAATAGCTTTTTACAGCTGTTTGTTTCCTCTCCACTGCATATCCTGGCCCTCCCCAAGACCCAGGCGCCACAGTGCTAATCTCCTAACCCCTTCCCATCCCCACCCCCTCTCCCCTCTATCTGAAGGGGGAATACTCCCTTCCTGCTCTCTAAGCATCTCTCTCCTCTCCCGTCTGCTCTCTTTCCGCCCGCTCTGCTCTCACCCTTTATTCTCTGCGCACTTCTCTCTCTCATTTGTTTTCTCCCCTCTTCTCTCTCTCATTTGTTTTCTCCCCTCTTCTCTCTCTCGTTGTCTCCCCCTCTTTTTTTCTATTTCCCTCTATTCCTGCTCTCTCTCCTCTTGTTTTCCCCTTTCTCTCTCATTCTTGCACTTTCCTCCTCTCTCTCTTCTGCTCTGTGTGTTTGACTTGTCTGTCTCGGAGGACTCATGCATGAGTTAATGGTGTACAGCAAGATGTGCCCTGTCAGGAGGGAGAGAGAGAGAAAGGGGGCGGAGAAGGGAGGATGGGGGCAGCCAGTAGGGAGTGGAGGTTAGCATCTCTCAATAACTCGCTCTGTGTGTGTGTCAGTCACGTGCCCTGGGTTCCATTAGCTTGTTTTGTGCTCAAAGCCTCCTCCTCTGCTGACCCATTCACATACAATGGCCGCCCTGTGGCAGCACACACATCCAGCACTTAGCATCTCTATTAGTCGTCTTCCTCATTCACACCATCGTCACCACTCTCCAGTCCTCCTCTTCCCCTTACCAGAGTAGCCCCCTCCCCCCATCTTCCCGATACTGGGGCTCTGATTAGGGAGTTTTGTGGTTGACATTTAAGATGTCGGAGTTAATTTGCCCAGTGTGAATGACCTAGATGTTAGGCACACAGTTAAGTCACATTGCATCGCTTCGGTGCGCTTCGGTCCCAGGCTGCATGAACGTACCCCCATTATCTGTTAGTCTGGCTGAGGGAAATGCGCCGGAGGACATCTTGATGACCGTGATGGTGTTATGGCTCCTATGGTGTATCTGATGCTGTCTCTGTCTGGTTCTTCAGCTCTCAACTCTTATCAGTACTCTCTAATATGGTTATAGGGTGGCACGCAGGGCTACGTATTCCTAAAATTCAGAGACCAGCTCCTTCAGCTCTAAGCCGTGTCTGTCCTGTATGCTGTAATATAGTAATGGGTGGCTAGTGCACACTGCACTGCGCTACGTACGTATTCTTAAAACGTCAGTCGGCAGCTCAAGGTCGCTGCGCTGATAGAGAGCTGGCTCCATGACCTTTGGTGCTGCTTGCTATACAGAACGCTCACAATAAAGGGTGTGTGACACATCTAAATATCACCATTGGCCTGAGCAAAAACGATTGCCGATTAAACTGATGATATCGGTCTCCGCCTAATTTCTGCTGTCCCCCCTCCCACGCTTAGCAACATTCAGAGCTGGCGGCGTCAACATTTCCAACCAACCAACATTCAGAGCTGGCGGCGTCAACATTTCCAACCAACCAACATGCTGCCAGTTGTTTCCGTCAGGCAAGGAGGCATTAGAGCAAGTCTCTGGAGACTACTTTAATTCATAATTTCCCTGTGATCTGCCAAAGCAATGATGTGGGAAACAATGGATTACCAATATACATTCATAATATTCCAGGTATCTGCCTACCTTGTGTCTATGGAGTTGGAAAATATTGCTTTGCCCTTTGGCAGTGCCGGCTGGATTTATTTAGTTGTAAAAATACTTGTTTTTTTTACGAGGGCCAGAAGCAGCACCTGTGTTGAAGGCTGGAATTATGGATAGCATACTTCAGTAGCATTGCATCCGTTTTGATCCCATCTTGAGTTGGCTCTGGACGAGCATAACAAGCCCATAGATTTGATCAGCGGATGCTAGCTAACTAGGCATGTTTGGCAGAATTAATGTTTACAAATGTGTGCTTCTCCTATGACTGATGGAACTGGCACGTCTTTATCACTTCACCTCCCGCTAGTCAATTTGTTTCCAAGGGGATAAACTGAAAGACGAGTTCAAGAGGAAAAGTGTCCTTGTAGACTCTGCCTTTTCAAATTCTGCTGTTGTAGGAATTCTGCACCTGGTTAGCGCATAGCTTTCTATTCATTCTTGGCTAACTTATAGTGCTTATAGTTTGTCTTTGGTTGGTATCTAAAGTCACAAAAGAAAGGTAAAGTTTTAAAGTCTGAGTGCCCTTATTCCCCTGTTACCTTAGGGCTGTTGGGAATATCAACTTATCGTCCAATGACGGTAAGGCCCATTTTTGGATATTCAGCCCTGTCCCTCAAGTGCTCCAACCCCAAAATACTCCTATATAAGGTGGCCCCAACTCTGTCCAAAAACCACCGAAATATCAGGTGACGGTTGTCTTGGGCCTTTTACTCCCCTAGGCCACAGCCTTCCATTTTGTTTTAAGAGTAAAGAATTGCCATCATTGAACAACCCTCATTGTAAAGAAATCTCCTGAATTGAAATGGAACTGACACTAACCCTAATTGGCACTGGGATTTCTAACCCCAGCCTGGGAGTGAAACAGCGTCTGCTAGTTGCAAAAACGAGTCACCTTGAAAATAAGAATTCCTTAACCCCAGGAATACTTGGCCACAATACGAACCAGCCAATTGTTCTCCAACACCAGAGACTAGGCCTATACACTTGACTCAATTATTTTTGACGGCATCATTTAGGACCGGGATGATACCAGTATTGTAATACTCGTTAGTATCGTGGCATGGAAACAAAACACGAAGCGGATTTAACTTATTTAGGAAAACAGCCCTAATGTTTATTTTCCTAGCTATATCACACAATATTTTACATACGGTAGGTTCTTAAAGGACCAAAGAGTTTGGTCTGCTTCGTGTTTTCTTTTTTGCCATGGAAAAAATATTGCCATACTGGTATTGTCACAACACTAGCATCATTGTCCATCATATGGCTCTTTCAAGGAATACTGAATGTAAAAAATGGATAACCATATTTGTAGCATCTCGATGGCTTCGTCAGGCCCTTTGCCTACCCTGATAGTGTTGGGTATGAAAGACCACAGCCACTCCGCAGCGGCGGCCCTCTGCTCTGCTCCTTTAGGGAGTATTTAGCTTCTAGAGCGAGCACTTTGGCTGTCAGATTAACCGGCACGTCACTCTTCCCCCTCCGAGAGGTGAAACCCAATACCGTCCGTATCGTATTCGTCGCTGCTGTCACATCAGTGATGCAGTGAGTGCGTGCACCGGGCCCATTGTCATTCATTTGATTGATTATCGGGGAAGCTGGGCAAGAGGAGCACATTTATCCATTAAAGCAGCAGCCCAAACCCTCCTCTCTTCTGCACACCTCTGTTTGTGGATGGCCGTAAACACATTCTCTGTGACCTTGGTGATGTTTGGCATGCACCATGCAACCAAATCTGTCTGCTCGCCTGTTTACAGGAAATTTGCATTCGACTGCCGCAGTTGATGTGGTTTCTCAAGTTTTGTCTCTGAGCGATCTGCAGGCCTCCGGGATAAAACGAGTGCCCTACAAACAGGACGTCTTTCATTCTTCTGAATTTTCTTTCTTCCTCTGTTTCGCTCTGTCTTTAGTGGAAACACTTGAACTAGCTTAGACAAGGGGGTTGTTTTTCTAAGACTCCTTTGGAGAGAGCTGTGGCATATTGCAGTAAATTTGCTGATGTCCATAAATGTGCTCCCCCCTCCTTTTTTTTTGAAGTATGGATATAATTTATTCGTGTCATATTCCCCCCCCCCCCCCCCCCCTCCCATCTGCTGCTGGGACTGCAGGCAGCTGGAAGCCCCAAACAGCTGCCAACGTGTTTCCTATCAGCCCAGCTCTGCTGGGGATGGAGAGGAGAGGGCCAGCTCTGCTGGGGATGGAGAGGAGAGGGCCAGCTCTGCTGGGGATGGAGAGGGGAGGAGAGGGCCAGCTCTGCTGGGGATGGAGAGGGGAGGAGAGGGCCATCTCTGCTGGCGATGGAGAGGGCCATCTCTGCTGGCGATGGAGAGGGCAGGAGAGGGCCATCTCTGCTGGGGATGGAGAGGGCAGGAGAGGGCCATCTCTGCTGGGGATGGAGAGGGCCATCTCTGCTGGGGATGGAGAGGGCCATCTCTGCTGGGGATGGAGAGGGCCATCTCTGCTGTGGATGGAGAGGAGAGGAGAGGGCCATCTCTGCTGGGGATAGAGAGGAGAGGAGAGGGCCATCTTTACTGGAAATGGAGAGGCAAGGGCCAGCTCTACTGGGGATGGAGAGGAGAGCCAGCTCGGCCTCTACAGGAATAGAGGCTAGACAAGAATTACCAAGTCCCTCTTTAGGAATTGAGGCTAGAGGAGTCCTATCCCCTGACTCACTTTAGGAATAGAATTCAAATTTGAACCAGCAATCTGAATAAATTGCATGCGTTGTCTCTATAGGGCTAAGTTAGACATTTGCTCTTTCTCTGTAGAGCTATAGGTTTAGATTTAGTAAAGTTATCATTGTCACCATGCTGAACTTAAGAACAGTTTAAAGCTAGTAATGGCCATACAGGGATAGAGGTAAGGACTAAGGCAGGCAGCGGTAGGTGTAATGGTTGGGGAACTGCTGGACAACGGAGAAATTTGACTTGTGGAAATCTGAACAAAAACGGTTTAAACCTAAAGAGTTGTTGTTATCTAATGAACTGCCTCAGAGCGGTTGGTTGTTTTTGTTTCTCCTGCTGCCGAAAATATTTACAAATGTATTATTCCTTCTCCTGGCAGTATTCCCCGTCAGATCCATCATCTGAGATGACTGCTTCTGACAAGACACCCGCCTCGGGGGCAAACTTCCAGCCAGCCAACCGTGACAAGCAGCCCACCGAGCAGAAACCAAAAAAGAAGAAGAAGAAGAAAGCCAAGGTGATTGAGGAGGAGGAAGTAGCAGAGGGGGATAAGAAGCCCAAAAAGAAGAAGAAAGGTGGAAGTATAGAGGAAGGTGACAAGGAGGAGAGGAAACAGAAGGTCGGGGGCAGTCCCTGGGTGGAGGTTGACCCTCTGACAGGCGCCCTGGAAGAATCGCTGGTGGTGGAGAAGAAGACAAAGAAGAAACCAAAGGAGAAGGAGCCTAAAGAGCCCATGACACCCAAGACTCCGAAAACACCCAAGACCCCCAAAGAGCCCAAGGAGAAGAAAGCCAAGAGCACTACCCCCAAGGCCAAGACGCCCAAGAAGCCCAGGTAGGTTACATTTGCATTACATAAACTAAATGTAGGCTACCTCACTCTAGTTTAGGCCTAACTATTTATATCAGCACTACATTAGCTAGGCTACAGCTAGGCTATTTATACCAGCACTACATTAGCTAGGCTACAGCTAGGCTATTTATACCAGCACTACATTAGCTAGGCTACAGCTAGGCTATTTATACCAGCACTACATTAGCTAGGCTACAGCTAGGCTATTTATACCAGCACTACATTAGCTAGGCTACAGCTAGGCATTTATACCAGCACTACATTAGCTAGGCTACAGCTAGGCTATTTATACCAGCACTACATTAGCTAGGCTACAGCTAGGCAAGGCCCATAACTCTACGTCAGCTGCTCTCTTACTACTGTTATTGAATGCTTTGAATTAAAGCTTTGGTGTCCCTCAGGGATCAGTATTACTACCGTTGTGAATGTGTTTTGGCTAGGGTCTTAAAGCTGATTTGTGTCTCTGTTCAGATCAGTATTTATGCTTTTAGGACTTTGTTGGATAAACCTTACTCTCAAGTCGACTTGGAATTGATAGCTCATACGCATCCTCACCATCAGCAACTGCTTTTCCAAGATCAGAGATTTGATCTACATTCCTGGCCTGTTTCCCAGGCCATAGAGGAGGGTCACCTCAAGGTAGCAACACCACCTTATCAATGTTGACTGTTGCTATTTTTACCAAACTTTCAGACCCCTCCAGCGACTTTTATTGGTAAGAGTCAAGCAACAAATTCAGCTACTTATCAGGCTGCCTTTGGGTAGTTTTGACACAGAGGGTTTTTATGGTTTTTATAGCATTTAGCGACTTTTCCCACTCAATTCTGCCGCAAACGAGAGTACAAGAAGCTGCCTGTGCAACAGTCACAGCAACGGCAAATACACAGGCAGAAAAGCACAAGGGAGGGGGCGTGATGCGGTGGGAGAGGGGGCGAAAACGCTATGTTGGGGACCGCAGCTGTGGCACAGCGTAGCAAATTTCACCCCAAAAATAGTTGCCAACACTGCACCTGAGCTGTGCGGTGCTCTTTATCCCACCCCTCACTCGTGTGACCAGTCAGTGGGAAACGCAGGTCACAACCCAGAGTTCGCTAACACCTAGGTGGATGAGGAGTGACGTCCGTGGTCTTAGCACATGTAGGCCGGGGGGGCACTGGTTGGTCATATGTGATCATGCTCAGTGAACTAACTATGCTGCTGGTGTGGTGCTGGGTTTGTGGGAGTGAATTGTGAAGCAGCCATCTATTAAGGTTAGCTGCTAAACCAAGTTGAGCGCTTTGGACTCAGCTTTGGACTGGTTGCGGCACTTGTGATTTGCTAGTGAATTCCTGCACCAAAAGTTATTTCCCCAGCTTGCACAGTGATGGGAACCTGACATCATCATGCTTTAGTGGGAACATGTTGGTTGGCCTTTAGCATTCAGTCATGGCCTATATGAAACTACTGAAAGTCTCCAGTCAACTTAACCTGTTAGTAGAAGTTGAGTGAACCTGAATGATTAATCTAGAAGTTTGAAGTTTTATTAGTCGTATGTACGGGATATACATGGTATACACCATCCAACGAAATGCTTCTTTGCAGGTTCCCTCTCGACAATGCAACAACAATAAGAAATAATACAAGATAAGAATACAAACATAAAGTAACTGGCTCAGTACAATATATTTTTCTTAGCTAAGGATAATACAGGAAGGCACAATTTATAGTCCAACATTTACATGTGTTTTGGGGTAGGGGGGATTGGGGGGAAAGTGTTTAAGTTGTGCAGTATTTAGCAGTCATATGTCTGGTAGCAGCAGTTGTGATGCGTGTGTGGGTGAGTGAGTCGTGTGCTAAGGTGCGGAGAGTCAGTGCAGGTGGTCAGTCCAGTTCAAGTGTTCAGCAGGCTGATTGATGACTTGTAGATAGAAACTGTCTCTGAGCCTGTTGGTATCAGACCTCATGTTCCGAGACCGTTGGCCTGATGGTAAGGGAGTGAACAGCTCGTGGCTGGGGTGTGTGGTGTCCTTGATGCTGTGGGCCTTCCTCACCATTTCGAGTAGATGTCCTGGATGGGTGGGAGCACTGGGCATTCTTCACCACCTGCTGGAAGGCCTTGCGGTCGTGTACAGAGCAATTCCCCTACAAGGCCCTGATGCAACCGGTCAGGACGCTCTCGATGGTGCAGCGGTAGTATTTGGAGAGGACCTGGGGGTGGCATGCTGAATTTCTTCAGCTGCCTCTTGACATGAGTGGTGGTGTGGACACCGAGGAATAGAAAACGGCTGAGACTCTACTGTTGTCCCGTTGATGTGGATCGGGGCATGTTCCCTCCTCTGCTTCCAGAATTCATCTATCAAAATCAAATGTATTCCAATTTTATTTGTCAACGCTCTGAAAGGTGTAGACCTTACAGTGAAATGTAGCTCCCGAGTGGCGCAGTGGTCTAAGGCACTGCATCGCAGTGCTAGCGGTGCCACTAGAGATCCTTGTTCGAATCCAGGCCCTGTCGTAGCCGGCCGCGACCGGGAGACCCATGGGGCGGCGCACAATTGGCCCAGCGTCGTCCAGGGTAGGGGAGGGAATGGCCGGCAGGGATGTAGCTCAGTTGGTAGAGCATGGCGTTTGCAACGCCAGGGTTGTGGGTTCGATTCCCACGTATGCACTCACTAACTGTAAGTCGCTCTGGATAAGAGCGTCTGCTAAATGACTAAAATGTAAATGCTTACTTACAAGCCCTTAACCAACAATGCAATTTTTAAGAAAGAATACAAAAAACAAAAAAAAAAACATTAAATAATAAGAAATAAAAGTAACAAATAATTAAAGAGCAGCAGTAAAATAACAATAGCGAGTCTATATACAGGGGGTACCTGTTAGTCGAGGTAATTGAGGTAATATGTACGTGTAGGTAGAGTTATTAAATTGACTATGCATAGATAATAAACAGAGTAGCAGCAGCGTAAAAGAGGGGGACACACACAATGTAAATAGTCCGGATGGCCATTTGATTAATTGTTCAGGAGTCTTATGGCTTGGGGGTAGAAGCAGTTTAGAAGCCTCTTGGACCTAGACTTGGCGCTCCAGTAACACTTGCCGTGTGGTAGCAGAGAGAACAGTCTATGACTAGGGTGGCTAGACTCTTTGACAATTTTTAGGGCCTTCCTCTGACACCGCCTGGTATAGAGGTCCTGGATGGCAGGAGGCTTGGCCCAGTGATGTACTGGGCCGTACGCACTACCCTCTGTAGTGCCTTGCCGTCGGAGGCCGAGCAGATGCCATACCAGGCAGTGATGCAATCAGTCAGGATGCATCATCTGTGGATCTGTTGGTGCGGTATGCAAATTGGAGTGGGTCTAGGGTTTCTGGAATAATGGTGTTGATGGCGAGGTGGTGGTCCTGGCACCACAATGCCAGTTCACTTACCTTCTCCCTATAGGTGGACTCGTCGTTTTTGGTTATCAGGTCTATAACCGTGGCGTCGTCAGCAAACTTGATGGAGTTAGTATCGTGCAGAGCCATGCAGTCGTGGGTGAACGGGGAGTACAGCAGAGGGCTGAGGACACACCCCTGGGGGACCCCTGTGTTAAGAGTCAGTGTGGAAGAGGTGTTGCCAATCCTCGCAACCTGTGGTCTGCCTGTCAGGAAGTCCAGGATCCAGTTGCAGAGGGTGGTGTCCAGACCCAGGGCTCTGAGCTTGGTGTCGAGCTTTTAGGAAACAATAGTGTTGAATGCTGAACTGTAGTCAATGAACAGCATTCTCACATGGATGTTCCTCTTGTCCAGATGTTACTTACGTGTGAATAGCGATGGAAATGGTATCTTCCGTGGATCTGTTGGAGCGGTAGGCAAATTGGAGTGGGTCCAGTGTGACTGGGATGCTGGACTTGATGTGGGCCATGACCAGCCACTCGAAGCACTTCATGATGACCGGGGTGAGTGCTATGGGGCGATAGTCATTTGGACATGTCACCTTGTCTGTCTTGGGCACTGGGATGATGGTGGTCTCCTTGAAGCAGGTGGGGACTACAGCTTTAGATGGATGGAAAAGCTCCTTCAAGCGACCTGGTCTGTCCATCTCAGCGCAACATCTCACAGACTGTTAGCTTTTCTCCCTCTCTTCTGTCTCTCTCTCTTTTCTGTCTCTTTTTCACTGGTGTAGTCTGTGCCCTGTGACATCCAAGTCTATCATATGTTCTCCAGGAGCCCTTAGCTTGCTAAAGACCCTGCGTCTCTCTACCTCCTCTCTTCTCCCCTCTCAATTCAATTCAAAGGGGATTTATTGGCATGGGAAACATAGCGAGAAACTAATTTAACTTCATCAAAAACTATTCGAAATTAACAGTAAACATTGCACTCGAAAAGGTTTTAAAAGAGACCTGTCAAGTGTTATATTATCAGCTATGTACAGTGTTTTAGAAATGTGCAAATAGTTGTAGTACGAACAGTGGGAGAAGATAAACAGATTAATATTGGTGCTATTTACAATGTTTGTTCTCCACTGGTTGCCCTTTTCTCATTGTAATATACCACTTGCTTAAGTGTTTGCCCATTTCACATAAAGGATATGGGAGTTTATTAATGTTTGATTTATTTATTTTTAAAAAGTGTTCTGTGGGAAATATGTCTAATGTGGTCATACATTTGGCAAGAGGTTAGGAAGTGCAGCTTGTGGACAGTGGGAAAATATCCTGTCTTCTCTTGAGCCAGGTCTGCCTATGGCGACCTCTCTCAACAGCAAGGCTATGCTCACTGAGTCGGCACATAATCAAGGATTATGGGTCAGTCACAGTGGTCAGGTATTCTGCCACTATGTACTCTCTGTTTAGGGCCAAAAAGCATTCCAATCTTGCTCTGTTTTTTGGTTGATTTAGTTTTTTCCCCAGTGTGTCAAATAGGTATCCTTTTTGCCTTTTCATAATTTGGTTGGGTCCAATTGTGTTGCTGTCCTGGGGCTCTGTGGGGTATGTGTCTGTGAACAGAGCCCGAGAACCAGCTGGCTGA